TACACAATTAAAAACATTTTATTTAGGCCTATCTATGGCTTTCAAAAAGTAACGTCGAAACATATAGAGTCGTCAACTTTTTGAAGGCCATAGATAGGCCTAAATAAAATGTTTTCAATTGTGTACCAGTTTAACGTTGAATATTATTTATGATTTTAATTCGCTAATGTCATAAAGAAGACGTAATTATTATTCAATACAACGGTAAGGGTATGGATGACCGGTAAATTATGTCATTAAGGTTTGTATACGTTATTAGTGTTTCCTTAAGCTCCAGGCAACTTATATTTACTTAGTATACAAATTAAGACTTTTAAATTCTAAAATTTTCTGTTTTCATACTAGATTTATATAACTATTTGTATTTAATTGTAAGAAACTCTTTAATAGTAAATTGACGACCAACGATTTATAAGCATAATAAAGTGATTTTATCTTGGGGAGCATAATACTTGCTTCGATAGTATCTTTGCTATTCTATGTAATATCTGCAATTTGACGTTTTATATTTAAGTATCGGAATATTTTATTCCGATACTAGCTGGAGTACCCTGGACGGAAGTTATGTAAATTCATTAATAAAAATATTGCGTATCTGCTCGTTTGTTAATTTCCAGTATAAATTCTTTCCGAGGAACTTCAGCGATACAAGTCCTTTCTTAATTAAAACTAGTTTATTCTTTCTCGATACAACTTTTTAATACACAGAATTTCCACAGTTACTTTAAACTTAACAACCTTTATAACACACGCTATAAATTACAGTGATACACACACTTTACTTACGGTGCCTACTATTCGCTTGACTCAATTATCTCTATCTTCAATCTATCTGCATATCTATCGATCGCTGGCTTTATTTGCCGGGCTTATATACTCTAAAAAAGAGGGCGCCTGGCAAACACTCGGACATTCGCGGGGTTCCTCGATAAGTCATGATCCTTCTAGAAACTCCAGCGCGTGACTTCCGCTGTCGTAACAAAAGGTTATCTTAGAATATGAAAAGTTGTTTCCCTTATATGTTACTGTAAAAAATGCCCATACAAATTGCAAAACACAAAATGTGAAACTGCAAATTTGCATGTATATCCGCATGGACCCAACAAACCTTCATTCCAGGGGGTGAAGTAAAGGGTAAAAACGCCCATAAAAACCGCAAAATTGATAATTTGTATGTATCTCTTCATGGACGCAATGAACCTCCACACCAAATTTGGTGAAGGTCCATTTACAGGGGCGAAGTAATGATAAAAATGCAAAAAATGCCCATAAAAACCGCAAAACACAAAATGCAAAACTGAAAATTTGTATGTACCCCCCATAGACCTAATGAACCTCGGACTAAAGGAAGCTACTAACATGTATTAGATCTAAAGATTATCTCAGCAACGAAGATATATAATTTAATGTACTGTACTTACATTCTTACTTATAATGATTATAATGCATTGTTTTATCAGTTGGATACCCTCGCTATTAGCAGTGTTTTCGGCCGTAAATCCAATAATACCTTCTGAGTTTCGGCGAGCTTAAAATATTTGCGTCAAAATCTATATATCATGCTAACAATGTAAAATAATCCTTATGATAAAAATATGAAATAATAAAAAACAAAGAATATTTGTTGTTTGTTATTAGGCACAAAGCTCTGCCCACCACGGGTATCGAAACCCGGTTTCTAATGGTATAAGTCCGCAGACATACCGCTGTGCCACCTGGGGGGGGGGGGCAACAAAGAATAATAGGAATAGATGATTAAGCATTCTAACCAATACTGGTAATGAAAGTAATGTTCGATAAAGGAGAGGGTGTAATTTACTTACATTTAACATTTCATGTTTTTAAAATCAATATATGCAAAACTATGTATAATCCATTCTAACAACATCTTGTGTCTAATGCTCCAACAGCTTGATTAATCACTAATATACATGTTACCAGTAGAACATGTTACGCAGAAT